TCTGGAAGAATGGCGAATGGTGGATCTCCAATGCTCTTTGTAGATCAAGAGTTAATCCTGAGAACCTCGGGTGGCCTACATAAGAAACATTTTAATCATTCTTCATTTTCAGAGGGGAAAAGATTCTAGTGAAGAAACATCAGGTAACTTATCCAACTGGATACAGATGGACAGGTTAGATGCAGCAGGGGATCTGCAGTCCAAGAGACCAGAGTTTAAACCTTTAGGCTAACACTCACAAGCTCTTGTGACCTTGGGCAAGTGATGAATTCCCCAGTTCCCTGATCTGTAAAATGAGGATAATATTTCCAAACTCATGCCACTGTCTTGAGGACTGAGAGGCACATAAAACTGCACAGTGCCTGACACACGTAGCCAACACTCAGTATATCTGAGCTACTACGATTGTTATCATTTTTATTATTTTTAACAACCTCAATGGAATTGTTAATCAGTTTAGCCCCCCGGGCCACATTAATACTCCAAACATGCAAAGTTGCAAATGTGATTTAATCCTATTGCAAATATAAGAAGATGCAGGATTATGACTTGGTAAGTACAACCTCCCTATTATTGGCTTCCCAGATGTAAGGAACACAGGAAGGAAAATTCTCCATACATAGATGTCTCTCCCCACTACCTTTAGACCAATACCTTATCTTACCTTATGCCTTATCTGCCCCACGCCTGATCTCTTTCACTGACGAAGGAATTCTCTCTTCCTGGGTGCTTCTTAAGGAAGAAGGAATGCTGTTTTGTAGGCTTTTATGACACTTGGAGATGCACAAGCAAAGCTTAGAGCGCAGCAGCTTTGGAAGTTACCACTTTTTCAATGATTCTTTCCTTGGCACCAAACAGCGTGTTAAAAACAACATCTCAGTGTTTGGGAAAAATGTGGGTTCCTTTGTATCCTGAGGGGAATCCAGCTGGACATGCACCACCTCTGTGACTTATTGAACCAAAAGTGCTTTTCCTCTAATTTATGTCGCTGGAATAGGCTACAAAGAACATTTGGACCCAAGGGAATTTTTTTTCCGACGTATTAAGTCCATGGCTTCCTCTACTCTTTTCAAATTAATTTAAGGTTATTTTTTTAAAAATCTATGTGATAATAACATAACATATTAACAATATATAGATCTTTTGTTTAACTCACCTTAAATTGTATATGTGCATATATAGAAGTTAAATGGAGATCGTAAATTTGACAACCCTGAGGAATGCTATAGCTGTGGTGTTTAAGCGTAAAAGTTGGTTGTCAACTTCCCAGGGCTAAGCAAGATGGGAAATATAAGTTCTATGGCTCTTGGGATAATGACTACCACTTACTACGTGCCTGCCACTTCCTGGGTATTGTATTAAGTCCTTTATTTCTTAAGTTCGATTATATTACACGGTACTCTTTAGAATAGATATTATCCGCCATCTAACATACAAGGAAGCTGAGTCTCAGAAGGACTAAACTGCCTAAATTCATACAACCAAAACATGGCAGAACCAGGATTCAAAGCCAAGAGCTGTCTAAATATTAAATCCATTTTTTCTACCTCTCCTATGAGGACAAAAAAAAAAAAGACAAATCAATTTCATAACCATTTTCCTCACTGTAAATTACAAGCAAAATTTCTTTGATGCAGCGTTATAAACGTAGATGACTTTTATCAAGAATTGGGTAGCAAGGGAGGAGGGACAGAGAAAGAGAGAAAGAGAGAGAGCCAGCCAAGGCTTTATAAACAAAAACCGGATTTCAAAAGAAAAGGCGATATGTTTTCAAGTTTCCACGTGGAAAGAAAATTTCCTCTCTCCCTCCGATGATGATGATATTGTGTTTGAACACCTAAACCACTCAACTTAGACCATTTTTCCCACAGGCAAAACAAGGGACCTCTGAGTCCCAGAAAGCTAGGCGCAGAGCTGAAGAACACAGCCTGCCCTTCTGCCTCAGCAGTGTCTCAAGTGGCTGCTAAAGAAGACAGATTCCCCTATAAGGGAGCCATTTATTTCCTTGTCACCTATGCTAAGGAATCTGGGAACAAATGGGCACAGTGTGCCACCTTGTGAGCAGGAGAGGACCTGCAATTTCTTGAATGACAGCCCCTCTCAGCTCCAGCCAGGAAGGGAACGCAGGGCCCCAGACCCCACGTGGCACCATAGACAGTGTATTTGGATATGTGGGACGTGGAGGTATTTCTGTACCCACTCCCAGGGCCAGCCCTAGGCCACATAGAAAAGTGACTGAAATGGGTCTTTGCTGGAAACACTATAGAGAGCTGCAAACCAACATGAAAAGTCGCGAACTTGGTGTCGGTGAACCTGTTTCTGCCACTAACTACCCAAGTGACCTTGAGCAAGTCACCTAATTCCTTTGGGCCTCATCTGCAAATGAGAAAGGTTGACCAGGTGATCTACAGGGGCCCATCCAGCTCTAACAGTGTGAATCTACCAGAGGAGATAAATTGTCTTCTCTCTGATCTTCTAACTGGCCTTCAGGTTTCCAATTCCTTTTGCTCACTATCACCAGAATTATCTAATGAAATACAGCTATGTATTTATCACATCTGTAACTCACTCATTCATTCATTTATTCAGTCGTTCTTTCAAGAAATAGTTATTATGTATCCCCTCTATGTGTTCTCATGTCCGCACTCTCCTGGGCACCTGGAACTACTTGCTGTACCCCTAATACACCAAGCTTTTTTGTGCCTCTGCTTTTGCTCATACTGTTCCCTTTGCTAGGAATGCCCTTCCCCCATTTTCCTCGAGAGCAGCTCATACTCATCTCAATGTGAAAGTCATCTCCTTCCTGAAATTTCCTGGTGAGCTACCATCGTCTGTGTCTTCTTAACATCTGCTATCTTGATCAGAGTACTTAGCACATTGCTTTGAAATCACATGCGTACATGTGTAAAAAGATAATATCTTGATACTTTCAGGTGTCATCTTTTCCTCTGCAATGTCCTTCGTCTCTTTGCTTCTCCCACCACTCAGACAGAGGTTTTTTACATCTACTACCCTGAGGGTAGAGGTATTACTGCCAAAACGAACAAGAAAGGAAGGGTCATTGCACAGATTTGAGTGCCAAAATGGGCTTGCAAGATTCACAGCAAACTTATGAAGCTGATTACCGTGAGAGAAAATGTTTTTTGAGTTTTGAGAGCCTGAATATTTTACATACACACGTCAATGTTTATACCATGAGAAAACGATCCTGAAGCAAAGAGATGAAGAGCCAGTCTACCAAGCTACTCCATCCTCACTCCCACCTACAAACTAGATAAAAGTTGCCCACACTAAAGAGTTAAAAATGGGTGCTGGGCTCCTGCCACTTGCCCATCCTCAAGCCACGTTGCAGGTGGGAGTGAGAACTTATGCCCCACCCTCTCTCTGGGACCTGGAAGGCAGCAGCAATGGAGATGTACTCTGAGCCAGTGGTGTGGTAAAGGAGAAAATGCAGGGCACCTTATCTGGGCAAGAGAGGGATGAGAACCTCTGAGGGGCGTGGAAACCAGGATCTGGAAGCTCCTGTGTCCTCAAGAAGCATAAGAGATGGATGAAAGATAGCCAGTGACCCAAAAGGTCCTAGAAGTCACAATGAAGAGGATGCAAAGTGACTGCCATGGCCCTGATGACCAGGGACTCTGTGGATGGCTGCTACCAACACCGTGGCCCTTCCATATGCATTTCTTACTTTTCTCTGTACAGTAGTCCCCCCTTATCTGTGGGGGACACATTCCAAGACCCCCAGTGGATGCTGGAAACCACAGACAGTCCAGAACTCTATATAGACTATGTTTTTTCCTATATAAGCATACCTACAATAAAGTTGTTTTCCTTTCTTTTTCTTATTTATTTACTATTTTTTTTTAGAAAGATTATCCCTGAGCTAAGATCTGCCCCCAATCCTCCTCTTTTTTTGCTGAGGAAGACTGGCCCTGAGCTGACATCCATGCCCATCTTCCTCTACTTTATATGTGGGACGCCTGCCACAGCAAGTCTTGACAAGTGGTGCTAGGTCCACACCCAGGATCCAAATCCATGAAGTCCAGGCCACTGAAGCAGAACGTCTGAACTTAACCACTGCACTTTGGGGCCAGCCTCTAGGATAAAGTTTAATTTATAAATTAGGCACAGTAAGAGGTTAACAACAATAAGTAATAATAAAATAGAACAATTATAACAGTATACTGCATTAACAGTTATGTGAACTGTTCTCTCTCACAAAATATGTCATTGTGTTATACTCACTCTTCAACTTGTGATGAGGAGAGACGATGCGATGCCTGTGTGATGAGATGAAGTGAGGTGAATGACACAGGCATTGTGAGGTAGCATTTGTATGCAACGGAGCAGGGCAGAGCGAGATCTCATCATGCTATTCAGAATGTGTGCAGTTTAAAACTTATCAATTGTTTATTTCTGCAATTTTCCATTTAATATTTTTGGACAGAGGTTGACAGTGGGTAACTGAAACCACGGAAAACAAAACCACAGATGGGGGAGGCTACTGTATCTCCAGATTGGCTAGCATGGTGCCCAATAAATGTTCATTTTGTAAAATAATCTAGCGAGGAAGATGGAGCAGTAAAGAGTTACCAGGGAACAGGAGTTCTGTTCTGTGCAACGTTGGCGCCATTTTCCTCACCTCTCCATATAACTCCCAAGAACCATTAATAGCAAAATAATTCTCCAACTCGTAGAAACAGAGAGTGGAATGGCGGTTGCCAGGGATGGGGAGTGAGGGAAATGGGGAGAAGTTGGACTAAGGGTAAAAACTTTCAGTTATAAGATGAATACGTTCTGGGGCTCTGGTGTACAGCATGGTGATTATAGTTAACAATACTGTATTTTATACTTGAAAGTTACTAGGAGAGTAGATCCTAAATGTTCTCACCACAAAAAGAAAAAAAGGTAACTGTGTAGAGGGATGGATGTGTTAACTAACCTTGTTGTGATACTCATTCCTCAACATATACATGTATCAAATCACCACATTGTACACCTTAAGTTTATACCATGTTATTTATTGATTATATCTCAATAAAGCTGGGAAAAAATTAATATCACCAAGACCACACACATACACAAAAATAATAGTAAGGAGATAACTCTAATACTGGCACTCCGCTGACAAAATATGGAAAACAAATGACAGGTATATAGAATTTCAAAATCCTTAAAGCTACAAGGTCTATGAGTACAAGCTGAAACTAGAAATGAACACAAGTATTTTTCAATCATTAATATTTTACTATATTAGCCCTTGATTTTTAATTTTTCTCCTGAAATTTTATATAATTAATGCATCATAAATATATTCACAATTTCCTTCCAAATATAAATATCAAGCCAAACTCATCTACATTAGTGAATGATTAATAGACATATGTACTAGATTCTCACCCCCATCCTTCCCAGCCCACCCTATCGTGCACAACCCACTCCTAAATTGTGGTCATATTTCCTGCGTTTTCATGCACATGGAACAGAGGCCCATTTTACCAACAGAGCTACCAGGGAATGGCTGTGCAACACAGTGACTGCACGGCTAGGAGATGGTCATCAGAGCACATAAACGGGGTGGGCCAAGGGCTCCTCCGTTCTCCTCCCCCGTTCTCCAGGGGGTTGGGACATGGGAGCATCACAGGACTATATTAGGATTCTGAAGTGCCCTGGGAAGCTAACGCTATCTCTAATACAGAGCTTTGAGAATTCCAAGCAAATCTTATCAAGAGTCCTACGAAACAGAGAGAACTGGGGACCACACCGGACTGTTGCAGAGTGCTAGGTAAAGAGCGGCGTGTCTACAGCTTCTTCAGTCGAGTGGATGCGCAGCACTCAGGCATTTATTTCGCGAACTATGGGGGTGACGCAGGTGCAGCCAACAGTCATCCGCACCTTCTCCAGCCGGAAGGAACCAGGACAGCCCTTGGACTCCCTCTGGAGGACCAGGAACTCCTGCTGGATGGGCACGGAGTTCCTGGAATGGTCTTCCTTCCCCTGGGCGTCGATGCAGCCCAAGTACCTGCAATGGGCCTCTGCAATCTCGGAGGGGAACCGGTTGGGGTCCCGGGAGACGCTGCAGGAAGAACAGGCAAAAGAAGATGGTGAGACAGGGAGGGGAAGAGGGACCAAGGATGAGAGCCCTGCAGCCCGGGGTGCTCCCATGATGGGAGGCGGTTCTGAGGACCTCAGGGCTGCCACACAGACTCTGAAGCAGACAGCCTGGATTTACAGACCGCCCTCTGGCAGGCGCTGAACTCCCTAAGCCTCAGTTTTCCTCAACTATAAAATGAGGATTCTTGTATACCTCTCTCACGGGATTGTTGGTAACACTCAGTGAGTGACACAAATGCATGTGAAACTCCACACCATAAAATGCTGGTATTCAATAAGTGTTAGATCTTTTAGTTTCTTTTACTTTACATTGTTATTACTATAATTATTATTCATCCTTTACTTAAAGATTAAACATCACTAGTAGATCTCTCAGGATACGGTCTACAAAGCCTGCTGCTTGCAAAAGAAAAACAAAGCCCCAGAGCTTTATGAATCCAGCGCCTTCTCTCAGTTTCTCCCTGCATAGCCCCCTCCGCCAGGAAACATAAAGGCAGCAAAGCCAATCCAGCCAACTTGCCACCACACATGCTTCCTTCACTTGGGAAGCAATGCAATCAGCCGCAGAGGCACTTTTAATTGTCCCTGGAATCTATTTTCATACTTGTCTTTGGAGCATATAGATGAGTACTTCGTATTCCAAGGACCTACACATAAGACAAAATCACAAGACTGTACCCTGAACCCTGCCACCTCGCTTCCCACTTCGCAAACTGGCCTTTCCCCTCCACTCTGCCCCCCTCCCCACTCCTTGAAGTCTAATCTGAGCAGATCTCTCTAAACTGACCTTTCTGGTTCTCGCTTATCCCCATAAAGAAATAATTATGTGGGCTGCTTTAAAGAGCCCTCTCTTCCAACACACAAAGTTTACAAATTCCAATCTAGAGCTGCATGAAGCAGGAAAAGGCAGAGGGTCAACGAGAAGTTGGAAGCAGCATAGCAGGACCTTCAACCACAGAGGAGGACCTAGCCCAAAAAGCAAGAAAAATGTGATCTCCCAGGTATAGTGAGATCTCTGTTTTTAAGAGCAGATGTGAGGGCTTGCATTTTTTCTATATTGTCTAAATTTCCTACTTTATGATTAGAATAAAATAACATGTTTTTCAAATGTGAAGATCCATCTCCTTTGCACTTACGTGTAAACCCAGGGGGAGCTGGAGCGGTTATGGATGTCATGTAAGCTGGAAATACCCTTGTTTTGACTAAAGATGCGAATGTCAACCCTCACAAAATCCTCCTCCAGAGGAGGGCAAGAGGCTGCCTTGGGGTTTGTCCTAGCTGCCACCTCCTTCAGCAGGGCGAGCCCCAATATCAACAGCAGTAGGGACTTGACCTGGAAGAGAGAGGAGGTTGAAGCTGGTTAGCGACTCTGGCGTCACTTGCTGGTGAGAGACATCCCGTGCTTCAGCTGAGCTCAACATTCCCGGTCTTTCCTGGGATCAGGGCTTCTCTTTGAACCTCAAATCCTGGAAATGGGAACAGTCACACATGGAGATATCAGGGTGCCGGCTGAGAAGGAAACGCGTTAGCCTGGGGATTGAGCCCTCCACAGTCAGAGAGCTCCAAAAGACAGCAGGATGTGGAACTCGGTTTAAATCTTGACCTGGCCTCCTCCCTGAGCCTCTGGTTTCTCTTCTTTCCAACCGGATTATAATACTTGCCTTATAAAAATATTCACAAGATTAAATGAAATGTTCTATGTAAAGCACCTATAAATCTGTTTAACAAAAATAGAGGCTTAATGAAAGATAGCTCTTATTTCCAACCTCATATCCCACGAATCCCCACAAAATCCTTCCTCCCAGAATACACTGCCCCACCTCCATCTATCCAATCCCACCCTTCCGTCAAGGGCCCACTCAGATGTGGTCTCCTCCAGGAACTGTCCCCAAAGTAGTTCAATTAGTAGTATGATAATTATCCTTAAATCATAAAGCTTCTACCATCTAGCACTCAAGTAATACTTCTTTATTGTCTGGAGAACGTAGTATCTGTTTTCCTAGCAGATCTACACCTACTAGATGGCAAGCTCCTGCAGGAAAACATGTCATAGAATTGATGTTCCATGAACACTTTCTGGATGAATGACAGAGCAGGTGATTGAATGAATGAACAAAACAATACAGTTCAATTAACAGTGTAGGTAAGCTCAATGAATTATGGAAAACACTATGCAAAACCAGCTACGGCAAAGTTCCAATTATCCATGCTAATTGAAAGAAGCAGGGACACTAATGATGCACAACAAGAGAATAGGGAAACTATTTCCTTTTAGCTCAGGAACATATTTTTTATACTTACATTGAAATATCAGTTTATCTGGCATTACGGGAATGCACAAAGAAAGAAAGCGCTCTGTGAAGACCTAACTAAAATAAAAGAAGAGCTAAAAATCTCTCCAGCTTCCCTTTGTCACAACCGTGCTTTGCTCACCCCATCATCACTGACCCTTACAGGGGGTGGACAAGGCTCATCCCAACGTTCAATGTGATGCAGAGCAAGAGCTGAAGCTGAGCTGCATTCATTCTCTGGCTTCATGTTGTCCAGGTCACACCTTCCACAAGTTAAGATAGGGAGGGTGATTAGACACGTTGGTTTAAAGGATCTCCTTTGTATATTTTGCAGATGCTGAAGGTAAGAAATGATAAGAGCAAGCAAAAAGGTCATGGTGTCAACTTGCTACCAGGGTAGCTGATGCTGAAAAGAAGTTGAAAGCAAAATTGACCCAGATAAACACGAATAAGGCTGATTTGCCTTTAGATAATCAGCAGTCATCAACCTTCATCTCCCACAATCATTCATTCATTCAACAATTCTTTCTTGTCTCTACAGTGTGGAGATTCAGGACACGGGCTCTGGAGTCAGATGTCCTATGTCCGTAACTCAGTTCTCAGACTCTTACTACTTGCAACTCAGCTTCCGCCACCAGAAAATGTGAAGATTAAGTGATAGGATCCATATAAAGCATGAAGGGCACTGCCAGCACATGGTAAATATTCAATACAGGTGACTATCAAATTGACATTGTGCTGATGATACACAGTGGACAGGAAAGATGTGGAATTTGCCCTCATGCACCTTCTGTCTAGACAAAGTGCTATGAAGTTTCACAAAGTGAAAAGATGCCTACTTAGACAAGGGGGTCCTTAGATAGTGTCCCAAGCCTGTCAATGACTTCCTTAGGTTTCTTAAGTAGATTCTTCCTCTGTGTTTTCTTTTTCCTCTTCTGTATTATCATATTCACTGAATCGTTTCTAATTTTCATCATCAAAGCTTTAGAGTAACTGTACCCTGGTGTTACATGATTTAGCAATAATTATCGTGCTTCTAACAAGTCATTATTATATTCGCTTATATTCTTTGAGTATTTTAGAAAACACTTCACATCTCTTTAAGCACTGGAGCCTCACAACTACCCCATGGCGTAGGTAGAGCTACTATTAATTATCCCAATTAGACAGGTGAATTGCGTCCGAGAGGCAACAAATAACGTGAGTGGCTTTACCAGGCTGTTGCTGCCAGCCTGGGGACTTGCACCTCGGCGTCGGTGGTCAGTGCTACTGCTACTGAAGATCATTATCACTGTTATAAACATGTAGCCACTTACAGTGTTTAATCTTAGCTTTGTCCCACTAAGGAGCCAAGCATTTTCAGCAAGGTGACAGCGGTGTCAGAATCGCATGGGTGTTATAGGTCACATGGGCCTTCATTAGGAAATCAGACGGTCTGCAAATTGCTCTAGTTCGCTCCACAAAGCTGTTGATCTGAAACTGTAGATTTTAGTGCTTATGCAATACAGAGCAGGGGCTCTCATAAGGCTCCTGCTGGTTCTTAAGAATGATATACACAGCACTTCTTCTCTAAGGGGTTCAGAGTATTTTATAGACTTGAATTCTTTTATGCCACCTCTGAGGCAGATAAATAGATATCACTTCCAATCTGTAAAATAGGAAACAGGCAAGAGAATGCACCAGCTGAAGGTGCATGGTATCAGGACACCAACATGTCAGCCCAACTGTGCACTTCACTCTACTGTGAGCCCCTCAGAGACCACCTGAACCTTTGTCTCTCGCAGCTGTGATTTGTGCTCACTCCCACGTAGGAATGTGCTCCAGAACCTGCCAGCTCCTAAGTCCACAAGAATTTGCCTCAACTGCTTATTGAGTATGTCCTATCTGCCAACCCTGCCCAAGTTCCAATCCTATTCTAAGATTTTATTTTTTTCCTTTTTCTCCCCAAAGCCCCCCAGGCACATAGTTGTATATTCTTTGTTGTGGGTCCTTCTAGTTGTGGCTCAATCCTAGTCTAATGTCCTTCGCAGTATCATGTTTCTTGCTGATGGTCCAACAGATTTCTTCAAAGAAACCAGAAATAGAAGTGGCTTTAGAGCACAAAGCTATCCAATAGATTTTTTTGGACACAGTGGCTTTAAATTCAGAAACCTTGCCTCTGAACCCGTCAAGGAGAAGAATACCCTCACGTCCCAGTTCTTGTGCATGCCTGATGACTTAAATCCCTTCACTGAGCTGTTGTTCATCTGAGTAATGGGGAAAGTAGACCCAATCTACTTCACTGGGTTGCTAGAGTCTCAAAAGTAAAAATAATAATATTATTAACACTAATATTTAACACATTGAATGCTTTCTCTATCCTTATTGGTTGTTATATTAAAATGGCCAGGTTACTATAAACTATCATGTGTAGACGTGCTATTCCAGAGTACAGATTTAGTCATTCTCAATGATGTCAGTTAATCCCCCCAAAAACCCCATGAAGAGGATGCCATTATTATTCCCCTATACAGATAATAGGAATGATAATACACAGAACAGTTAAGTAACTTATCCCAAATCCCACACTTAGTAAGTGATAGAGCCAGGCCTGTCTGACTCCAAAGTCTATACCCCCTAAATACTGCACTTTGTTGCATTTCTTGCCATCTCTAAAGCAGTATATAAATACAACATAGTATTATCATCACCACATGCCATGACATTTTATGCAATCCAAGCTCTTTTAAGTTGCATGGCTTATAAATGAAATAAAAAAGAGGAGTTATTTAAGCCAATAATATGGTGAGTGATTTGCCAAGCCCTGTTTTCATGCTCCTCTATATTAAATTCTTCCCAGGTCTTACCTGACTCCTGCCAGGCGAGATTCTAGACCCAGGGGAGGTAGATTTCCATCACTCTAACCTCTCACTCTCCTCCAAGAGGAACAAGACAATGCAAAAATAATCAGATAGCTGAGACACGGCAAATTTTCCTCCTCTAGGAACTGTCCAAAGTTCGTCACTGGCTGGTTTCCCTTTCCTTATCCAGGGTACTCCTTGTCCACCCGTAGTCTTGGGGAATCATTAAACCTTTTGGGGTTCCAGCTTTCTTAGTTAAAATATATATGTACATATCCTAAAAGGCTGCCTAAGCCCCCACATGAGATAAGAGTTTTACGCCAACCTCATTCTATAATGGTGGCCCCGGGAGTGATCATGTCCAGCTTGTCACACCAAGAGCTGCACAACTGACACCAACTATGGAAAAGCCATCAGGTGAAGAGCCATGTTTTACATCCCATCATAATTTCTAGTCATTTGTTCTTTTCCTCCACCAGACAGGGGTCAAAATTAAAGTCAGCTCTGTTTTTCAAAGAAGTGACCCCCAAAAAAATCCCAAACAAGCCTAATCCCTTAGAAATCTGCTTTTCTGAAATCCTCGTGATGCCCAGACCTAAACAGGAATTATTGTTACTACTCACCATGGCTGTGTTCTGCAGGATGGTCATTGTCATTCTGCTCTGGCTGCCTGCTTTGTGCAGGAAGCTCTTTCTGTGTGTGTGTTGCCCTGTGTTTGCTCTGCTGTATCAGGGAGAGTACCTGTCATTTTATAGCAATCACTGCCCTTGTTTCAATTGACCTGCTTACTGTCTAAGTTGTGGTTGCCCCAGAGTTACTGACGAACGTAGTTTTTTTTTTTTTCCTATTCCACTTCCTGAAGGGGAATCAAAGGAAGACCCTAAAAAAGGTTGACGGAAAAAAAGACCAAATCTTCCTTTTTTCCTACCCTACTTCCACCCCCATTGCCCTCAAATTACAGAAAAACTCTTCACTAACTTACTACAGAGATGAACCAAGTTATAGATTACCGTCATGACCTTCTACGTTCTTCCACAAATGGCTAGCAACTCTTGTCACGCACTGTGCGTTCTACTTTCCAGTCATGCAACATGAACCGTGATTTAGGTCCTCCTTAGAAGAGCCTTGGTATTAAATGAGAGGACTGTCTTTAGTTCCATTGTATGAATGAGTAAACAAAACCAAAGAAATGAATGACATTGGTGAGACATTCAGAAATTATACCCCCAGCTAGTTTCGTGATCTCCCTGAAGTAATTCTGTCTTAACCTCATGTTTAAAATCCTACTGATGCTTAAATAAATACTCATTATTCATACAACATATAAATAACCATTATCTTGGCTGTCTCTGATTAAGGATGCTTTTTTTTGACCAAAATTAATTAGCAAATAGAACCTTTAAATTGTTCAGTAGCTTTTTTATCTCCTTTAAGATCAGGTAAAATTATACATGGATGTTAACTAGATTTATTGTGATCATTTTGTAGTATATACAAATATCGAAACATTGTTGTACACCTGAAACTAATATAATGTTATATGTCAATTATACATCAATTAAAAAAAAGAAAAACAGGCAAAGAAAATAGTTTACATTAGAAGAAATAAAAATAGATAATAAATTTATGAAAAAATAGTTTAACTTCAAGAATAATCAAAGTAATGCAGATTAAAATAGGATACCATATTTAGCCTATCAAATTGGCAAAGACTTTTTTCTTTTAAAGATTTTATTTTTTTTTCCTTTTTCTCCCGAAAGCCCCCCGGTACATAGTTGCATATTCTTCGTTGTGGGTCCTTCTAGTTGTGGCATGTGGGACACCGCCTCAGCGTGGTTTGATGAGTGGTACCATGTCCGCACCCAGGATTCGAACCAATGAAACACTGGGCCACTTGCAGCTGAGCGCGCGAACTTAACCACTCAGCCGTGGGGCCAGCCCCTTGGCAAAGATTTTTAATCATGCGATATTAACGGGAGAATAGGAAAAAGGGGAACTTTCATGTGTTACACCTAGGAGTATATTGGTACAACTTTGTGTAGGACATTTAATAATATGCAGCAAAAACCTAAAAAATTGTTCTACCTCTGGGAATTGTTCTAAAGAAATAGAGATGCACATAAAGATCGACATACGAGGATATTTAGTGGGGAAAATTGAAAACACCCTGGTTTTCCAACAGTAGACTAACGGTAAGTAAACGCTAGCATGCCTATAGGGGAGAATCTATGTAGCCATAGAAATAGTTTCCCAAGAAAATTTAATGACTTGAAAAATACCTTTGTTGTAGCATTTGTTGAAAATATCAAGATGCAGCTCTTCATGTAGAACATGACTTTACTTCGATGTAAATAGATACATGCACACTGTCTATATGTATATGTGTGTATGTGTAAACGAATACTCACGGAAAAAAACCTGAAGCTATATGCAGAAAACCCAACAGAGTAGAATCTTGGGCTCCCACCCCAAAGCTAGTGAATGAGACTGCATTTTCACAAGATCCTACATGATGTGTAGCACATGAAAGTTTGGGATGCACTGCTTTAGGGAATGTTAAAGAAAGTGCGGGACTTCGCATAAAATTCCAGTGGGGCTCACTGCGTTACATTCTCTGAAAAGGAAAGACTGAGAGTCCAGTAGCCTTGAAGAGTGATTGGGACAAGACGACTCAGAGCTGCACTCCCTGTAGCTAAGAACCATACCTGTGGCCCTGCTCTGGAGGGGTCCTTGGCAAGGACAGAGATGAAGGGAAGGAAAGGAGAGGGAGGTCGTTCCATCTCAATACTCAGCAGCACTGCTTTGGGTTGCCCTACACGAGCTACCCACAGGCTAGCTGCAGGCCGCTCAAGGTCTCCTACAGACTTTCACTTACTCAGCAGCCAGGCTGATTTCCTGCATTGAGGTGGATGGAATTAGTCAACATACTACCGGAATCCCAATGCCTGGGGAAAGCCCGGGTGAGTGTCTGTCAAACGCCGTCAAATTTTCCTCGATTCCTCCCACCAAAATTTCTCCTCCTTTTGTTTCTACCAGGGCCGCACAGGAACCAGGGATCAGCAACATTTGCTCCTGGACTTCCTCCCCCATCATCACACCGACAATCAACAAAGTTCTAGGGGGTGAGTTGGGATGACAGGCCCAGCCCCAGAAAGATGATCTTGCCCTCCATCCTCACTTCTAGGTAAAATTGCCAGTTCCTTAGACATTGGCCCAAATCTAATACGTGGCTTCCATCTGCTTTATTAGAGTCACCTTCCCAAACTTTACATGAGGTAAACTAGTTTTTCGAGCTTCTGCTCCCTGAAAACGTTTTGTATTTTTGAGCCTGAGCCCTCTCCAGGCCAGTTCCAGTTCCAGGAGTGACCATTTCGTGTCTCTCTACTTACTCATTTAGCTTCTACGCAAACTTCTAGGCTCTTCCTCACAGTCCATCTCCTCTGACCCAAACCCACTTGGGTCATTCTCTTTTCTGGACTCTCAACTTTCTCTCACAGCATTTCACCTAGCAATTCCTTAGAGAGAACTTTTCTACTGTCTGCTTGAACGGCTATTAGTATGCGCTTTGGCTTTTTAAATTTTCAAGTGTTTATTCCTAATCTGTTCTCTGGATCTTTCCCTTTTTTGGTGGGGGCAGGTGGGCGGTGAGGAAGATTCGCCCTGAGCTAACATCTGTGCCAATGTTCCTCTATTTTTTGTATGTGGGATGCCTCCACAGCATGGCCAATGAGCAGAGTAGGTCTGTGCCCGGGATCCGAACCCACAATCCCAGCAACTGAAGTAGAGTGCACAGAACTTTAACCACTTGGCCATGGGGCCAGGCCCTGTTCTCTGGATCTTAAACACTTTAAAGGACACAACTGTGACTTCTGCTTTTTTACATTCCTACCTCTCCCACACCCCTACCAAAATATCCTACCCATAGCTGGTGCTCAATATTTATTCACTTGCTTTGATTTAATTTGATGTTGATACCAATTTATTTCTTCTTCCACATAGTTTTTTGCTAATGAAGGGGATCAGAGTACACCACCACAAAATACACCCTGTGGCATAAGGATTCTTTTAAACTAAAGGAAATTAAGAAAGACTAGACTCAGGGCTGACCCCGTGGCCTAGTGGTTAAATTCAGCACACTCCACTTTGGCAGCCCAAGTTAGGTTCCCGGGAGTGGACCTACACAACTTGTCAGCAGCCATGCTCTGGAGGCAACCCACATACAAAATAGAGGAAGATTGGCATAGATGTTAAATCAAGGCGAATCTTCCTCAGCAAAAGAATAAAAGCAAGAGCAGACTCAGGAAAAGATCTATTCCCTCCTCCTTCCAGCCTAAAAGCAGAGCATAAATGTCCCTTTATAAAGGTGTCCCCCTCCCTTTCCCCTATTAGGAGAGAAGGATGACTCTTAATTATGGAAGACAACTCTTATTAATGGAGAAAGCACCAACTTGAATCTGCATAACAAATCCTACTCAATAACACTTATCTTTTATTAGTTTCCCCCATACATTTACCTTCCCACAATTTACTTCTCCTAGAAGTCCAAACCCCTTCCTCCCTTTATCTAATTTTCTCTATAATTTACTACTCTTTGTTAAAATGGTATGTAAGCCTCTGGGTCTAACCATGTCTTTGGGTCTTCTACGAAGTCCTCTGTATGCATACATAATAAAGCCTTTCTCCTGTTAATCTGTCTTTTGTCAGGTTAACCTACAGGGCCCCAGATACTGAACCTAAGAGGGTGGAGGAGAAAGTGTTTCCTCCCCGACATCACCTTCACTTCCTAATAGATCAGATGAGTTGCCCTAAAAATTATTAATTAAAGGGAGATATTTTGGAGAAGATAAAACTTACAGACATAGAATATTATTGTCAAATATTTGGAAGTTTTTTAAAAGGGAGATTGGACTGTCACCAGAAGGTCACACCAAGGCTTGATGAACATCTGGTGTTGACATTCCAGAGGGCAACCGTACAGCAGGAGGCTGTTTGGACTGGACCATCTCCGAAGTCTCTTCCAACTTTGGAATCCCATGAAAACCAAAAACAGTATTGATATTTTAATTAAACCATACCCATAATCTCAGTCTTGGGAGTAGGGGTGTGTGTGAGTGCACACGCATGTGCGTGTTAGTGTGTGCATCTTCTGCTGTCTTCAGTTTTTTTCTCCTTCCTGTGAAAAGCAATCATATGACTCCAAATGCTAAAAATTCTAAGTGTCTTAACTGTATGTTTCCCATGAAGATCCAGGTTAAGAAGAGATTAAATCGGGGGGTGGGGGAAAAGAGGACCAGAGAGAGAGCACTCAAACATACACACTTCTGAGAAGTTTGTCACTTTCACTCCTGCATGGGACTGACCCAGGAGGATAAATCTCAGGTTCTCTTAATTTTTGTGGAAACACTGTGGAATAACAGGATGAAATGGGTTTCCTGTGAGGGAGGTTTCTTCATCTTTGCAGAGGTGAAGGATTGGAGGATGTATTAAGGAGAAGGTGGAGGAAGAGGAAACAAAGAGAAAGGAGAGGGGAAGACACGGAAAGAAGTGTGACCTGTGGGAGTAGAGAGCAAGTGCTCCCGATACAGCAGGGCTCATTCCACTGCTCTCTCTGCTGCATCTGACCCCCAGGGAGATCAAAGGAAGGTGGATGGGAAAGACATCAAGGGAATAATAAAGTCTCTGAGAAGGTTGTTGGCCACGCAGACCCCCAGA